AAATTTCAGAATTTTGATTAGAGCTCCCTGCAAAGCGCGCATTGGTGCAGGCCGTGTGCGGAATCGGGACCCTTCATACTTTGCAAGTCTATGTACATGTAATTGAAATAAAATGTTCGCGTGTCATTGGATGGGTGATAGTAAATTATACCTACAGTGTATGTTGTAGCTTTCTGTTCAAGACGGACAGATTTTCAGTGTCACTGCATCTTGCCCTACCGCAGTTGTTACAACTCTCACAGTGCATGGGTCTACTTGAGCCGTTCAAGTTATTGCTCTTCTCTGAGTTTGAGCAATAATTTGAGTCTGTCGATTCATAATATGAATCATGACACCCATTCTTGATAGTCGAAATTCTTGTTCTAGGCTCTTCCGAATGCTCAAAACACGATTAATTTTTTATAATAATAATTAGTGGAAAATATTATAACAGACTGAAATACTTAAGTCAAACAAGACCCCAGTACGACACTGAACACTGACATGTTGTTTACTGAATACATGTATATTGTACGCGTGTGTGCTCCCTTTTTCGAGCTGGTGAGCTAGTAAATTTTTTTCAGGAAATATTGCTGGACAACCTGAACATTTTACTAGTTGGTCGGTCGGTCGTGGAGAAAACACATTTTCCCCTGAAAATACACATTTTCATATTTCCCAATACTCATTTTGGTTTTGTTTGGTTGGCATCTCTGCCTTAGTGGGGAACATTTTTAAATCAAGTATCTCCGTCTTTCTTTTGGGGTGTTGTATCATTTTCAGCCGTGACAGTCAGGATAGGAAGCTTGTTTCCAAAATGGTCTAAATTGTGTTGATGCGGGCGTAAAAAATACCTCCCTCCATACCTTCCTTTTTCTTTCTTTTGTATTGTCACCACTTTGTTCAAGTTTGTGGCTTTTGGAAAATTTGAAATGAGAGATTTGTGTGTGTTTGTGTGTTATGTTTATGACTCCTTCATTTTTTACATATATGTCTCTTTGGGACTTAAAAAAATTTGCATGTTACAATTTGGGTGTTGTATAGAGAATAGAGTTCTGGCCTTTGAAAATCTTAAATGTAATGATTGTGTCTATTTGTGTGTTTAACTCACCATTCATAAACAAACTTTGCTCACCATACATGTTTCCCTCGTGTGTCTATTTGTGTGTTTAACTCACCATTCATAAACAAACTTTGCTCACCATACATGTTCCCCTCGTGTGTCTATTTGTGTGTTGTGCAGAGAGCGGTGTTACTGACTGAAGTGTCTTTTGGTCATTCCCAAAGGGGGACATGAACATGTTCTTATGCACAGTAGAATTGTAAATGGGCTGATTCATTGATGTCATGCTGATAACTGTGCCTGAACTGCATGCGGGGAACTGCTGCTTTTTCCTTCCTCATCCTTACTATCTTCATTTTCCCTCTTCTTCTTTTGTATGATTGTCACTCTTTTGTGAACTTCTATTTCTGGAATGCCTTGATAATCGAAGCAGACTTTGTGCTGTTGAAACTAGAGAGGTGAGCAGAGTAAGCCTGATTCCCTGTAAGGACTTCTCTGTTGACATCCACCCCTTGGCGTTCATATGACCTTTTGCAGTTGCGAGTGCCGTTAAGCCTCTACTAAAACATGTCTATTTGTGTGTATGTGACACACCAAACATAGACAAACTTTGCTCACCATATGTTCCTCTCTGTGTGTCTATTTGTGTGTTGTACAGAGAGTGGTGTTCGTCTGACCTTGGATCACGTGGACCTGAGCCTGGACTCCCAGACGGTGTACAGCAAGGCCAAACTCACCCTCGGAGCTGTGGGCCTGCAGCACTCACAGCGCAGGTGAACATTGTAGCCTCTTAGATGTGGGCGGCATGTCCACTGACTGGATGGTGCTTTACTGGGGAAAGGGTTGTTTTTGTTTCGCTGTTTTTTTGTTTTTTTTGGTTTGTTCTTTTCTTTGATTGTTTTCCTTACTTGTCAGAAAAGTGATCTGCATACTTGTCCTGATTGGGTGGGTGGTTGGCGGGTGCTCTGGTGTGGTTTGCTTCTTCTTTCCTATCAAACTTCTATCGTCCTTATCTCCCCTTCTTCTTTTTTATGTTTGTTACTCTCTTGTAACACCTCTAATCTTCTGGCGCTCATATGACCTTATGCAGTTGTGAACGCCGTAAAACTCTTACTAAAACTAAACATACCTGTCCCAAAAGTGTATCCCCATGTATATGTATATCAAAACTTCATTCTTTTTTCTAAATGTTTGGTGGGGGATACATGTTTGTAGCTTGAGATCTTAATGCTGAAAATGCTCCTTGGAAACAAGTCAACATTTTCAGTGTTAAGATTTCCAGCTTTAGCTGGCTCACTAGCCCACTGCCTACATGATCTGTACTATATTGACGGGGGTGGAGAATCATGTACATTTTAATCCATGCCCCAGAAAACCCCCCAACATTTTTTAATTTTTAAAAATTGTGTTTTGCTGAAGAATATGAATGAGTGACAACTGTCTTGTCCTAAATGGTCTCACGGCCCGTTCAGCCACTTTTGAAATAGAGTTATTGCATCTTGCTCAAGGAAATACTTTCTCGAATGGTAGTCCTGTAGACATGGATAGGTACCTCTAGTTTGTAGGGTGAGTGTGTGCAATTTACAAGTATGAAATGATAAAAGACGTGTTAAACTTAAGAAGAAAACAGCATCAATTGAAAATTTACACAGGCTCATATAACCTCATGTAGTGGAGAGCACTGTAACTCGCTTATCAATCTGAACTTGAAAAAATCTTCAAATTTGTGCCGTGTGTTGATATTCAGCATTATCTCTGTTTTTACGCTCCATTTGGCGACTGAGAAGTAAGTCTTTGTGTCTGTGGTGAGAAGTAAGTCTTTGTGTCTGTGGTGAGAAGTAAGTCTTTGTGTCTGTGGTGAGAAGAAGTCGTTGTGTCAGTGCTCCATTTGCCGACTATGAGAAGTAAGTCTTTGTGTCAGTGGTGAGAAGTAAGTCATTGTGTCTGTGGGCCTCACTTTCCTAACCCCCCTCCTCTCCTCCCCTGTACCGTCCATGTTTCAGAGAGGATGGCGGCTGGACATGGTCGAGCGCGGACGGTGCGGTTGTGTCCAGTTCCCGGCGGTTCCCGCGACATCTTTTGGTGGCCTCCAACAAACCGTGGCTGGGAGACAACACGCCCGTGTCATTCGCACCTGCGCACGACGCGTCGGCCAAGGAGAAGAAGCACGGTGTGTTGTCCGTGACCTTCACGCGTGCCCTGTGCAAGAATGTAAAGAAGAGGCTGCGCAGGTCCAACGTGGAGCTGCCGAGCGTGGACGAGACGGGACCCCTCGAGGGGGAGTCTGACGGAAAGTCGGGTCGCGCGGGGGAGGATCTTTACTTCCACGAGTACCTCTCGGAGATCTGCGTCAAGACGGAACCGTTCGACTTTGTCCTCAAGTCTGAGGTGATGGACGTTGTGTTGGGTTTGACGAAGGGTGCGGGGCAGAGGGGTGAGAAAGTAGGTCGCTCGGACGGACAGCATGCTGGGATAGCTCCGGCGGCCAAACCTCGGGGTCAGGCTCAGGGGTCGTTGGACCAGGGGCAGGCTTGGTTAGAGAGTATGAGCGTGCACAACTGGCCACTTCTGTACGCCGACGTAGGACTGGTGAGAATATTTGTCCCCACTCGCAGCAGCGACGAAACATCCTCTTCACCACAAATTGGAAAAAGTGGCCTGAATTTGAACTCGAAGAACAAGAGGAGTCCTGACTCTACCGGTGAAGACCTTTCTGTTTCGACTGCTGAGGTCGCGGGCGTCTCATCGCAGGCTAGTATGTCTGCCACCGACACAGCACCCGCCCAACAAATGACGGACGGTGCCACATCGCCATCTGTGGCCCCACACCGCGGTGCCACACAGCAGGAAGTCTCAGCGGGGTCAGGTTCTGGTGAGCGGGAGAGCCATGGAGAGCCGTCAGAGAGCCCCGGAGAGCCGGTAGAGAGTCACGTGGGCAGCTCCACCCTGCTCCACGACATGCTAGTCCTACAGGTCAACAGCTGCACGCTACAGCCACACGCAGACAACCCTTTGCCACGGTGAGTTAATGTCACACACACACACACACACACACACACACACACACACACACACACACACACACACACAACCCCCCTCCCTCCCCCACAACACAATACAAAGTTCCTTCCTCCTACACACGCACATTATTCTTAAACATTTATAACATAAATCATTATCTATACACAGCAAGGCTTTCTTAATCATAGAAACTAGATTTTTAAATCACGTAACCGCACTTGTCTGCTCGGTTGACATTACCTAAGCTGAGGTTGCGCCTTTTTTCAACATTTCCCTAGTTTTCAGACACTTCCCAAAATTTCTTTTAACACCGTCCGCTCTTTTTAGGAGTGATATTCCTGCACACACCCTGGGTAACTGGAGACATTGTCAATTTGCTTTTGACTTCTGAAGCGAACCGCCGACCTTCGTGTCTTATTAAACAAATTTGCACTTTCATGTAGAGGGGAAAAGAAGAGACAGTAGGCACCAGTGAGTGTTGTGCACAGACATTTAACGTGGTGTGAATGAATGAAAGAATGAATTAAAGAATGAATGAAAGAATGAATGAATGAAAGAATGAATTTATGAATGAAGGAATGAGACAGACAGACAGACAGACAAACACACAGACTAAAAGACAGACAGACAGACAAACAAACATACACACATACACACACATATATATATATATATA